AGGTGGACGGGTCTGAGAGTTGTCATCCTAAATAGCTCCTAGTGAATCATTCGAGTGGATGATTCGGATCCGGAGCTGAGCTGATAAGCTGGAGAGCTGCATTTCGCTTTTCGGTTATTTGCTTTTGTGCGGATCTTCCGCTCCCCCAGAAAATGATGGGAGAAGAGGTGAGAGCACATATGCTGGAGGAATAACATCAGCAATAAGAGCCGGGTACATAAATAAAGTTCCGCTATGAGTGATGGATTGAACGGTTTAGACTTGTGATATCAGTGAGCTGATGAGCTGCGGTTCCTAAAAAATGAACAGCGGGTCATCAGCTCACTTTAGAGAATCGGGTCTATAGAACAGCTCGGGAGCGGATCGCACATCTCTACTGCGAACTGCGGCCTACATGATCCAATACGGTTCATGTCGTCGCGATTCAACACATTCTTTGACTTCAACTGTACAGCTGAAACCTTCCGTCACCGGATCCAGCATAGACCGATATAAAGGCGATAAATGATTTGATACGGCTCAGGAAGCAATCCACTAATGGCGTAGGTGAGCGTCTGTCCAATTATTTACTTTGATGAAGATTGTGCTACTTGTTGTCTTTTTGTGCTTCGTTGAACAATCCTTTGTAAGTTCCTTAATTGCAATGTGTATGTTAAAACATATGGGGTTTTTACGCCTAAATCCTAAAGGCTTTTCCCCAACATATGTTTCATTAAGACTTGAAGTCAGATGAAATTTCCTCAAACAAATAAACAAATAAACAAATGAAGTTTGTGGGAGAAAACGAATCCGGAGCATAAGAGAAAGGAATTCGTAAAATAATTTCAGAAGAGTTTTCCAAACAAACTATGAGGAGAAATCTAAGAAATTTGTGAGGAGAAATGCAAATGAATCCTTAAGAAACTTTTAATATGAGTAGAAAGCTAAGGGAAGGAGTGAGAATCAAAAGGAAATCTGAAATGAATTCAATGGAAATTATGAGAATGTTTCCAACGGACTGAGGAGAATTTCAAGGTTCCAAGGAATAATCAAATAAAATTTAATTAGGAGGATAGTTCTAACGAATGTTTGAGGAATATTTCAATGAAATTGCGAGAAGTATTCTAAAGTATATTCTGGTGATATTTTTTAGAGAATTCAGAGAAGCGTTCCAAGTGAATTTCTAGAATCATTCCATGAGAGTTTCTGAAGAGTACAAAGTGAATGCTGAGGAGAACTCCAAGGGAATTTTCATGAGAAATCTCTTTTCAATATGGAATGGACTATTCTGAGGTCCTCAGAACTACTTGAAAGTTCCCAAAATGTTCCTGAAGTTAATGAAGGAACCTTGAAGTTCTTTTGTAGTTGGAGAAACTAGCCTGATGCTCACAATACTTCCCATGAAAACAAAAATCACTCCTGAATTTTTTTCGGACTTCCCAAAGTTTCCTCAAGCATGGGTCTTCTCAAAAGTTTTAACAATTCGCTAGTAATTTATCTAATGTTAACGGAAATGCTCTTGAAACCTCTCTAAAGTTTTTACAGTTCTCATGAAGCTTGCTGGACTGCCCTGAACTTAATTGGACTGTCTTAAAAATGTTTAAGCTTCCGTGAGCTTCTGAACTTATGTGAAAACCTCAATAATGTTCTTAACATTTCTGAAGTCCTCTGAAAAGCTGGGAACTTCTAATATTTCCCGATAAATTCCTGAAACTAATAGAGCTGAACTCCCCCTGAAATTCCCCCTAGTTTTGGAGCTTACTACCTTCTTTGAAATGCTTCAGCATTTTGCTAATGGTCATGAAAGTTCTGAAGTATTCGTATCTTCCGTTAAGTTCCATAGACTTCTATGAAGTTCTCGAAATGTTTCTGAAGATCTCGGCCCTTCTGGAGGTTTTCTGAAATTTCTTAAACTACATTAAGCTTACACAATTTTCTTGGAATCAAAACGAAATAATCAATATAGTTCTATGATTTTCACAGAAATTCTCAAGATTTTTTTTAAAGTTCATGAAACTGCCCTTAAATTATCAACACTAATTCATAACTACTTCAATAGTCCAGACTTGCTGGATGTTATTAAAACTGCCCCAAAGATTTCTGAATTTCCGTAAAGTTCTCTAGACTGCCCTGAATGTTTCCACAATTTTCCTCAAGTTTTATAAACTTTATAAACGCTCACAAAACTTTGCCTTAATTCACTATTTGTACCGGAACTTATCTGGACATCCCTGAAGTTTTACCTGACGTTCTCTAAATTCGTTTAATGTTCCAGCAAATTTTAAATATATATTCATAGACCCCGACGCCTCTCAAGTTTTCGGATCAATCATATAATGCTCGGAATATCCCATAATTCCACGAAGCTCCTTGTAAGTTGCTGAAAATCTCCTTAAGTTAATGGGACTGATCGTCCTCGAAGTACTAGGAACTTCACTGAATATCATGAAACCATCTAAAAATATCTAAATTTCATAAAAGATCACTGGAATTTCTTGAAGATATCGGCGCTTGCTAAAAGTTCTCGAATTTTTTTTATGATTGATGAAACTTCGTTGATATTATCTAATCAACTTAAGCGGCGCCGGTGGTGTAGTGTTAAACGTGATTACCTCTCACCCCAGCAGGCCTGGGTTCAATCCCAGTCGGCGACGCCGGGATGTTCTGAGGCATAACATCTCTGATCACACCTTCCTTCGGAAGGGAAGTAAAGCCGTTGGTCCCCGGTTCATGAGTTGATGGATCGATAGGTAGGGTCCAGGTGTGGGAGCTGCCTTCCTGGCGTCGGTAGCATTGGTGCTCAGTACAGAAAACAAGATCGAAGAAAAACAAATCAAGGGGGAAAAATCTAAGCAACTTAGCTAAATTTTTGCAATTTTTTTATGTTCTTGAAATTTCCATGATATAACACTCTTAAAATACTTAAAATACTTAAAATAATTTTCCGGATGTGCACATAGATTTGGTTGCGTTCCAGAAATTCTGAAGATTCCGGTCTTTAAGGTTTCTGCAATTTCTTTGAAACTATTTGAAGTGCCCTTAGATTCTCTAATCGGCCTGGATGTACTCGGAGCTTCCCTGAAGCTCTCCATTCGATTGAAGATCTCGGTTCTGCTCTGAATTAAGTGAAATTCTCGTCGAAATTCGCTGGACTTCACGCAGTTCCTGAAATATTTCTGAAGTTTTCATAAAATTCACTGAAGGTCTCTGAACTGAACATCCCTGAAATTCCCGGAACATCTTAAGGGATCTCGATTTTTTTTTTAATTCTCATTATGGAATTTTTCTAAACTCACGCTTATAGATCTTTAAACTGCTTGAATTGTCTGGACTAAAGTTACAGGAACTGCCCTTAAGATCTCTGAAACTCCCCAAAGATCTCTAGATCTAGGTTTTCTGATGTACCAAGAACTTTTTAAAAGTTCCCACAACTATCCCCAAGGCCACATGGAAATGGTTACCCTAATGACAAAATAAAACAATACGGGTCTAATGTTTTGCGATAAGGAACAAAACTACCAATTTTTATGAAATTCTGAGAACCACTATATCGTTTTGCAGATTTTAATTGAAATAGTTACTAAACCTTTATTGTAGGGCTCCAATCACATTCCCTGATATTTCCCGGTTTTTTACGATTCCCGATTGTCCCTACATCCTTAACTTCAGATAGTAGAAATCCTTCAAACATTTGGATCTGTTTGAAATAAAAGACACCTTTTCAATAACAACACAAACCCCGAAGCTGACTCATATCGCATAAGCCATGGTGAAACATTTCCCCACGACAAGGACCATTTTTGGCACATGCAATTGTAAGTTCATCGTTATACTGCCAGCTTCCGGATCTTTTTTTCAAACTTCTGCCGGCACTCACCTTTTGAAAAAACCGCACCTCAATATTCGAAACGGAAGTACCAATTCCATCAGGAGATTACCCATGCCCACAGAAACTTTTCCTCCCTCAGACACATGTCGCAATACCATCGGGAATGGCTGACGGGGACGACAACATCAACAAGAGGCAGAAACAGATTGTAAACTTTTAAATACTTCCGGATAATGAAGCAAAACTAGAACTCTACTGCTGATCCCTGAGCCCCTGCTATTATGCAATATGCACCGTCAGTTTACCCGCAACGAACGAATCCGAACTAGTGGGGAAAGGTAGGTACAGGATATCATCTCCACCAGAAGCTGCCCGACACGTTTCGGAATTAGTGTCGACAAAAGGGGGGGGGGGTCGCAAACTACGGTTAATCCCAACGACAGCAGAAAAAGGTCAACCCGGGTGGCTGCGGTGGACCAGCGCTGCACTAGGAATGTTGGTTGTGTAATCCCATCGCTGTCGTCGCTGCTGTCGACATCGACGATGGCGCGGGGCCGATGACATGTCTCTGAGTACCTACCTTCTCACCTCGTATTTAGTTTGGACTCGGTTGTCGGTTGTTGTTTTAGTTTTGCCGGGAAATAATAAATAAGCGAGGAAATGATAATCCGATGATATAAATGGGGATAGATGTTGGGTTTTCGGGGGCACCTTTTATTCCCGGTGGGTCTTCACCCGTTCATTTTTTGCTCTGCTTTCAAGCCGGATGCTGAAGGAAGAATGGCATATGAAATATACTTTTTGAGCGGGAGAGGGGGAGGGGTTTTTGCTTGTTTCCGAAAGATGATCTGCGGATTATGGAAATTGTCATAGAACGGATAACAAATTGTATAACTTGTTTCAGGAGTGACAAAAATATTGATTGCCTTATCCTTAATTGTCCCTTCCGGGACACGTGACATGCACGTTCGAAACCGGGAAAAAAAGAGAAGCAAGCAAATTGGATAACATTCAGCCGGCCGGCTACTGTTTTCGACAACTCATTTCCATCGTCATCACCATCATCATTGTCGGCACTAAACGCCACATGTGGAGTTTCAAAAAAAAAGTGTCCCCGGCCCGTTCTAGTTTATTCATTCATGGCGTTTGTTTCGCACCGACAGTCCCCAAACTAGAAATCCCCTGTACTCACCGTGTATGACGAGCTCCGAGTCGCGATTGACCTCGTACAGCCGGATGGCTTCGTCCAGTTCCAGGTCCGACTGGATGGTGCATGGGTCGTTCTCCTCGTCAACCCATTTCATGGTGAAAACCTACAAGGCAAGCAATGACAAGCAAACAAACCAAAGCACGTGACTTTTTGATTCCAACGACGACGGCTACGACAGTCATTTTTCCTATTTTAGCTAGTGGGGTTCTCACCTGGTCCGGCGAGAAGCGACAAATCTCCCGTATCTCCCGGCAGATGCCCTCGTACGTGATGCTCTCATCGATGTAGGTGATCATCACCTCGCCGCTATAGGCAATTTTCACTTTGATCTCGTTGCCACCTCCGCCCCCGCCGCTGTTGTTGCTCTCGTTGGCGATCTGTATCGGCATTTTTTTTTTGTTTTAGGTTCTTCCCGCGGGTCCGTGTGGTGTTTCAATTAACGTTCGGCACCAGCAACCGGTCGGTCGGCCGTCGAAGGTGTCGTTTTTTGTCTCTATCTCGCTTTGTGACGAGCTTGCTTCCTAGCAATCAGGACCGATGTGCGAGCCGTTTGCCGGGATTGTGCGAAATAACGCCCACTGGATGCTGCAACAATGTTCAGGATGATGGGAGTGCTAAAAACAGAAAGAACAGGAATACAAAAACTTGGCTTTAACATTGCAGTTTAGTAAGGGGGGAAATGCTATCGATTGTTTAGAAATAGAGAAAATATGCTAAATAGCGCTAAATGTGCTAAAAGGTATGGGTTGTGAATATCAGTCGGTGGATATATTTCACTGGCCGTCAGTTGTCTGATCCAGCCGGAATAAATACGACATTCGTTTAACGACCTGTGACTTCAAATTTCTATTTCCTGAAAATGAGGTTGAACTTGAACCGTAGTTTTTTTTTTCACTTAATTTATCGAATACAAAACTTCCTCCTTTCCTACACACCATCCTCTGTTCTTCCTCCTTTCTACTTTGTTGTATCTTCCATAATTCTCACACTTAATCTAGCTCGGTAAAATCTTCAACAGCCGATTACCTCGGCATTTACTTTTGCTGATATCTCTTCAAAATATCTGTTTGTTAGCTGATATCTCAGCAAAATATTATTTGTTAGCTGAGTCTCGGCAAATGTTTTAATGAATCTCAGCTAAATATATTGCAGTACTGCTCGGTTGTTGGAATCTCGGCGAAATAATTTAAATGTGTAGAGCCCTCTAATAGACCTGATCATTATTAGGTACTTGAACCGGGATTTTTGCTACTACTACAACCTTTGAAAGGTTGAGCCTGGTTCAACTTTTTTCAATTCAAGTGAGTTGATCAATTCAAATGAATGGCATGGTTTAAACGTTCAATTCGCGTTCGAGTCAGTTAAGTTCAACGGAGTTAATCAGTTGACTTGCCTCGTTTAAAACCAGCTTTACTCTCCTCGCCTAGCTGGGTCGGTCGCATCCATTTTGAATACACAATACACACGCCATTAGACCGAACGCTATTATGTTGAATGCTATTTGACCGAATGTGAATTGAAATAGCTCTCAAACTGCTTAAGTATTTTTCAAATGTTCATGGTGACCAGTAAATCCCGATTACGAGAACAATTAGCTATTTCCAAGTTTTTTTTTTTTTAATTTTCGCACGTTGTGCAATCTACACTTCAATTAAGCATAACACCAAATGCAATTGAGCTGGAAGGATCACGGAGTCATTACGAAGATAGCAATTTGTTTGATTTTCGAAAATTCACGAAGAACTCTTTACAAGACAAAAGCTTCTCGTCCGCATGTCCAACCTGTTCATGGGACAGGTAATCAATTTAACTAATCGTACATTTTTGGTTGTTTTACTAAACCGTTACATTTTGTGAAAGATAAAACATCATCTACAGCTAACAGCCACAGTGTGTTCACCTTCTTTTTTCCCTTGATTTGTTTTTCGTTGATCTTGTTTTCCTTGCTGAGCACCAATGCTACCGACGTTAAAGAGGCAGCTCCCACAATTCAGGTAGGGTTATCGACCCATCAAGTCATAAACCGGGGACCAACGACTTTACTATAATAATGCGCTCATCTACATAAAATTGATAAATAGCAGATTTTTAGCGATTGGCCAATCTTAGATCCATGCCCTGTAACGTGGGTAGATCACCTTTTCGTGGTACGTTACGGGATGTAAGATCTACCACCGATTTCTAATCTTGACTACTTCAAACTAGGGGAACAGGATTCTTCAGTAATCAAAGGAACACATCTTAGTCCCTGTTACTTGTTTATGCCTTGTTGGTAGTGATAAGTCCTCGGGTTGCCTGGACCGAGGATGATCTTAAAGCAAGGAAAAAATGAGAGTTAGTCTTCACCTATGTGACTCCTAATCTTCTATTCGTTGTTCCCTAGACTTGAAGTGGTTAAGACTAGGGTTCTGATACATGGTCATTATCGGTGCCATTGCTTGTTTTTGTTGCTAAGGAATCCAATTTTAACTGACAAAGGGACGCGCCTTTGGAGGGTGTTTCAACACTCCGAAGGGTATAAATAGCGGGACCTTTGTATTTGTATTTGTATAATGAAAAATTCAACTGACAATTATTGTCTAAATGAATAAAACTTAAACTAAATAGTTACGGTCAACGGTACGGAAAAGGTCAAGTAACCGATGACGAAACACGTCAGCTGATACATTGAAGTCGAACATATAAAAGAAGTAGTTGAATTGCCGGCTGATTGCTCGAATTGGCTCGTATTGTGTATAATTTCGGCGCCGTGGTTCCAAAAACAGAAAGTCGCGTTGACGAAGAGGCCTCTCAGGGGCATACATATTTAGCTGTGACAGCAGTGTTGGGCAGTCAATGTCACCCGTAAGCAGCTTTCCAGCGAACATACCTTGAGCGACCGACCGTCTGACCTCTAATGGTTCGATTCCCAGGAGACGACAACGCTCCTCGTACGGTGGCAAGTTTATTGGGTCACGCCAGTTGACGAAACAAAGAGGGGGCACCAAACAACTAAACTTCACTCCAATAAGGATCGCACAAGCGAGCAGTAGAGTGACCTGAGGCATAGCGGGTCACGGAACTCGTCGGCAATTTTGAAAATAAAGCCCAATATTCAGTGCCAACATTTCAAAGGGGCGTAATTGCTTTTGTAAACAATGGTTTGAGCTATCGATTTCTCGCAAATATTCATGGGTATGCTTTTATTCGCGAGAAATCGATGGCTGAAGCCATTGTTTACAAATGCAATTACGCCCCTTTGAAATGTTGACACTGAACTGTCGATTAGCTCTGGAGATGATGTCATTGTAGTGGATTCTGAAAGTGAGTCTGCAGTCCAAGGTAACGCCGAGATCTTTTATGTGCTCTACACGAGCAAGACAGCGTCCGTAGAGAACATAGTCAAACATGGTTGGTTCGACTTTTCGGTGATAGGAAATAATGTTACATTTTTCGATGCCTAGACTCATCAACTTTCTTGAGCACCAGTCAGCAAAAATACCTAACATATTCTGGAGATCCCAACAGTCCGAGAGGCTTTTAATAATTTTGTAGATTTTCGTATCGTCTGGATAGAAAACGCGGCATCCTGATGGTATCAGCAAGGCGACGTCGTTTAAAAAGATCGAAAACAGTAGCGGTTCTAGGTTACTGCCTTGCGGAACTCCCGAGTTGTTTGAGAAAACATCCGATTCCGACGCGCCAATTTTAATCCGTACATAGCGATTCACCAAGTAAGATCTGAACCAATCCACAGCCGTTGACGAGACGCCAAGTATCTCCAGCTTGGCAAGCAAGATATTATGGTCCACCGTGTCAAATGCAGCTTTTAGATCCATATAGGCAGCATCGAATTGCAATCCTCAATCCATACATCGCAAACAGTTTTTTTTTCCGTGTTGGGTATTTTCATCACTGCGACCATTACTTTGATCTATTGTGATAACAAACAGTTAGAAGTAAACTGCACCAGGTTCGTGGACATGAAGCGCTTCGGGTAAAAGCCGTGTTGCTCTGTATCGATATAATTTTTGCAACACGCGAACAGAGCATCATTTATGATAATCTCGAACAGTTTTGAGCACCTCCCTGCGTAGGATGCGTCCACGATAATTTGCGACATTCCGTTCATCTCCTTTTTTGTAGACTGGGAACAGATAAGAAAGTTTCCAGCGGCAGGGGAACTCACATTGCTGTGCCGAGAGATTGAATAGCCTCGCAAGTGGAACGCAGAGATTGGCTACACAACGTTTTAGAACTGATGACGGAATGCCGTCAGGTCCTGCGGCGAACGAGAGCTTCAGTTTGCGTGTTGCGGCTATCACCATGTCTTCTGAAATGCGCGGAATATCGAAACTAAACACATCACGTGGCATCCCAACTGTAGCATTCAGCACTTGTGTCAGCGAAGCGGAAAAATCGTGGAACACTTGCCTGGAATGACGAGCAAACAAGTCGCCTTTTTTCTCTTTCACTATTAGCCGAGCCATTCCCGAGAAACATGGAATAAGGCAACCCGGATTCCTTCCGTTTGGAGTTGACAAACGACCAAAAACTTTTCGGATTCGTGCGAAGGTTCGCTTCTGTGCGTCTCACGTGTCGATTATAGAGAAAAAGATTGTAATTTCGATAACTACGACTCGCAAAACTGAACAGTCGTTTGTAGTACGGCGAGCGAGAGGTACAATACTTTCGGAGGGCAGCAGGACATTGACGTTCTAGCACACATAGGTGTGGGTTAGACCATGGAGGCTTTTGCAGGGGTCGTCGTGCTGGGACAATGCGGAAAATAGCATCTTCCAGTGCAGCACTAAAAAAATCCACATCATCATTCACGCTACCGGCTGTTTCGATAAATTGCCAATCAATTTCCGCAAGCGCAGTGTTCAATGCAACATAATCAGCTCGACAAAAGTCCCAAGAGTAGCACTCAGATGACGGCGTAAAAAGAATCGGCGAATGTAAACTAATTCAATTAGAATCGATTCCTTGGGATGAAGGCAAGAATGACAACTGTATCAAAACCAAATACTTCATCATTTCTCAATAGTGATGGAGCAATACGACATGCACTAAACTAAGGACACGGGATATACTACAATAGATCAAATTACTTTAAAAAAGTTATGAAATCTCTGTTGATATTTTTTATGAAAGGTGAAACTATCAAAGTCAGCGCTCTTTCACTCGGCCGCTGTCCCGAATCTTGAAGGAAAGACCAATGAAGCCACGGAAGAAAGAGAGAAAAGCGAACTAAGCAAACTGTCGATAGCGATCTTTAAATTATCTTTCGAATTTCATAAGAATTCAATACATATTCCAAGGGTATGAGAGTTTTCATCAGAACTTTCTTCACATTCTTCTCATAACTTTTTTAAGTATTCATTAGAAATGGACCTCTTCACAATCGTCATAGAATTTCTCACAGAGCTACCTAAAAATTCAACTTTATTCTTTGAAATACCTTGTTGTTATCTCTTAAAATCTCCTTAAAATTCCTTTGGAATATTCATCAAAATTCTCTTAACACTCCGAACTCCGATGCTTCCGGTAAAATGTGTAACGGCAAACTTGCAATATTTGAAAAGCCATAGCTGAGCCATTTATAAACAAATTTAAAATTTATTGGCGCCAT